TCCCACCTGCCCACTCATACCCCTGCCAGGGCCCTAGGCGGCGGGGGTCTGGGGCTCAAAGGAGAGGGTCTGCAGAGATGGGAGCTGGAGATCAGGAACTGAACCAGGGGTAAGGTGGTGTCATGTCCGTTCTGCCCTCGGGGCTCAGCCGACTCGACTCCGAGACGGTTCACCTTCCTGCTCTCCCCCATCTCCTCCAGATGCTCAGAAGTGCTGCTCCCACAGGCCCTCTGCTTTCAACTTTCTGCACTTGATCCTTCCAGACCATCAAATAATTCATCTTCCAGATTCATTTTTCTCTTTAAAAAAAGAAAAAAAGAGCAGGTTCAGTAAGTTATTCTAAAAGTTCCCCGACTTTGTGATTTGTTTAAATTTTGCGTCTCTTGAGTAGGACAGAAGCTAAGGGCTGGACGCAGGGAGGGCAAACCATACATCGCTGCAGTTGATGGCAATCCTGATCCCCTGCGCCTGCGTGCGCTCAGGATGATAAACGGCTGGTGCATCCTGATAGCTCAGCACATCACTGAGGTCATTTATCACAACGCCTATCCCCAGGGAAATAGGATTATTCCGGTATTACTCCACTTACCGAGATGGGCGAATGGTTTTCTCCTTTCTGTGTGTATGCATTTATCTCAAGGCAAATGCAGCCGTAGACATGCATGTGTTTCTTCATGTGTGAGTGTCTCTGATGACACTCTTGAGTAAGTGTGGATACATGTGTGAATATCATTATGGGGACAAGTTTAGGACTTAGAGCAATTAATGAAGCAAAGCCCAGGGGTCACAGTCTCTGTGTGAGGGAGTCACCTGCATGGCATCGCTGCAGGCCAGATCCTTAAGCAGGACAACCGTTTTGCAGCATGTTCCTGACTGATCACTTGGGAAAACCCAGGGAAGAGAGAATGAATGGATCAGGGTTGAAACAGCACGGCTATTGAGAAATCTCTAAAAAATCTCTATTTGTATTGAAAGGCTCATTTAAATGAAGGCTAGAGAACTGTTTCTCTGCATGCAGGTAGAAAGAACTTTCCTGGATTTTTTGCAGAGAGTTCAGGCAGCGCAAACAATGACCACAAAGGTGATGGGGATAACGGTGAGGATGAGGATGAGGTTAACATCACCAGCAACACACACCTAACCCTCAGCACTGACCATGACCTGCTGTGGTTCTAAGTGCAGCACGAATGTAACTTGCCCCACCCTCTTCACACCCTCTTCAGTATTTCATAATGTCCACCCTTTATAGGTGAGCTCAGTGGTTTTCAAAACTTGAATCACAAAATCAACTTGCTGAGTTTGAAAACTACTCCCCAGTTAAGGCTGTGTGGGTGCCCCTGCATAACTTGGCTTTTATGTAACCATTTAGATAATATATGTAGCCACACCTCTGAAGAACAGAAAGTAAGAATTGACAAATACCAAATTAACTGAGACACTGAGACTATCAAAAACCAATGCCCAGAGCAGCCCCCGAGAGGGGTCCCCAAGCCTTAGGTGCACTTCCCGATTCACTGGCCACAGACAGAAGAGAGAAAGGGGGTTCTTATGTAATTAATCTGTCTAGGTTTCTAAGACTTGGGGCTTTTCCCCATTTCACCCCCAGAGAGGGTGCACCCACATCCAGCTAAAATCCATGTTGCTTTGGTGATCTTTGAAGAAATCTTGGATAATCCCAGGAGGGTCCTAGAGCGTTCCCAAAATGAGCTGACTTGGATTAGTCATGTCCACGAGGCTGCCGTGGAGATGGGGGGACAAGCTGGAGTTGACTCACGGCCGGTGTCGGGGCTCAGCCCAGCTCCACCACATGCTGGACGGGCCACGTCTACTGGGAGGCCAGCTGATGCACCCAGGTGGAAGGAACCATGACTCACGGGACTGTCGCTGGCTGAGTCTCACCTAGGGACCTCGTTCAGGTGGTAACTGGGGAAATCAGCCAGCCAGACCCTTCAGTCTTCCACCCACAGTCAACTGAGGGGAAGGGAGCATGTGACTCTGGCAGGGTTCTCACTGCTTCCTGATCAAGGTGGGAAATGGGACCTGCCTCTCTGGAGAGTAAAACCTTCCCTGTCTTTCCCATCCTCTCAGGGAAGTCCGGCCCAACGCCACCGTGCAGTGGGAAGAGATGCTTCGGCCTTGGGTCTCCGGGCCCCGGAAGCTGATAGCCAGTATGAGCAGCGACTCCCTGAGACACGTGTACGGCGAGCTGGACTTGCAGATCCAGAGACGATCTTCTGTGTAGACACACGGGGGCTGAGATGGACCCAGGCCCTTGGCCTCTTGTAGTCCTGGCCAAGGGCGTTCTAGTGCAAAAGTAGTCAGCTCTTGCTTTTACTTAGATGTGAAGACCCAGCCCGGACTGGATGGGGCCCCAGAGCGGTGCGGCTGTTCAGTGTGGAAGTTAGTTTTTCATCCCACCACCTTCCCTAGGAGTCCAAGCATTAGCTTTAATTAAGCTCTAATTAAGCACTCACAGCTCATGAGAGTAAAATTCATCATTTATCATCTCAAGTGACTGCAGCTCCGAGTATCTGAGGACTTCTCCTCGCAAGGGGATTTGCTCACTAGCTGGCCTCACGTAAAACGGGACTTCTCATCCCCCCGTCGGCCTGTCTGGGGGAACATACTCCCCAGAAGGGAGGGAAGCACCTGATGTGGGCCCTGCGGTTCTATTCCCTCTCCTTGAAACCAGGTTCTACCCTCTGTCAGAATATTTTTCCCGGGAACCGAGTGCAACATCATTTTTCTTCTCGGCAAAGCCGGGAAAGGTCTTTCATCTTGCACCTGCGGCGAAGCGCCTGCCTGCCAAATTTCACAGATTTACCTTGGGAGATGTGGCCCCATATTAACAAATTGCATTTGCGGGAAACTTAATCACCTAAAAGGAGATAAGGAAGCAGGTGCAATACTCAGATCTATTAAATTATATGGTTTTATGGTGCATTTTATAGGCGGTGTCACACTGTGGCCTGATCAGCAGGAGCGAATGGCCCTTACTTTAACCCTTTGGGGACTGCAGTGTTAAGACGTAATGAGGCTGACTTGGGACAGAAAGGATGAGGAATTAGTCTTTAATTAACGATTATGCTTCACCTGTCTCTCTGGGCTCATCTCTTTGGCCCAATGACACAGGTCTGGGACCAGTTTTAGAGACAGAATAAACCCAACAAGTTGGAGAAGCTGGCAGATTTAGTGACCAGACACGTGGAAGGATGGGCAGCCACTAATTCTCCTGTCCTTGGCCTCGTCCACCTTGAGACCTCAGTTCGGCACGAGGTGCTAAAAGGTAGTATGGACTCCAGCTTGCAAACAGCTAGCACCACTGCATACCTGATGGCCGAGGACGCCGACACCATCTGTGTCAGGCATCAGGGTTCCGACAGACAAGGCTATCTGGTAGTTATCTGCAGGGCTGATTTATTGTCAAAATTACCCACTGATATGCCCAGAGTGTGATTCAGGTCAGTAGATTGTGATTCTAAGCCTTTGAGACTGTTTCTGATCCTTCAGCATCCAGAATCCATGAGAGTTAATGGGTCCCCTCTAAAGGCTCACTGCACCTAACTCTGTTCAGTAATCTCCCAGCATTTGCCAAGCCTTCCAGTACTCAATTTTAAAAGGAAATGCATTTTGCTAGACTGTTAGACTGGCTTAACATAGTATATTCTTATTAACTAGAATGTAATCAAAGCTTAAAATAAAGTTAATCTGATTGTATTTGCATCTGTGCAGAAGCGAATGCTTTTAACTTTCGACACAACACACTACTGACCACAACTGCTCAAGAAACCACCCTTTCTCAGCGGTAGATAACCTGCCCTGGACAGTGAAACAAGCTTTTCTGCTTCAGAGAAAATGACTCTAAGGGGTACTGATGTCACGGCGAGCTTTCCTCATCACTCCCTCTACATTTTATTAACCACGTTCACCAAAGGAGCAAATTTGGTCCAAAAGTCTGCTTCCAGGAACTGCAAAATCTCTGAAGATATGTTTTCATGAACAATCTTATGAATCATTAGGGAGAATCAGTGGACAAGCCAGCGTGAATGCCTGTCATAAGGAACACCTTTTGTGGTCTTAGAACAGAGAAGGCGAGTATATGACAGATAACGTATAAGTGACTCACTACTCACGGCAGACATCGCTGAACAACTGCATCCTATATAGGGCCTCAGAATCCTTCCCAACACTGTGCTCCAAGCAGCTATTTCCAGCTGATACGGAGTTGACACTCAAGATAAAACCCATTCCCCGTGCCTACCTTAGAGCCAGCCTCCCCTTTGGCAGCTGGGACCCTACACTGTGTCCTAATGCTGTGTCTCTAAAAATCACATTTTAGTGATGGTGCCAAGCAGTGCACCTAAGATAGCAGCCAAGACTCTAACTTCCAGTTTTCACCTGTGCTGCTCTGCTTCTGAACAAATCTTTATTTGCGTTTATGGCCTTGATGACTTAAGAGAAGTAACACTCCACGAGGGTCTTCTAGGGGCATATCAAGCAAGCCTCAGCAGGGAAATTAACCTCTTATTTACTATACATTCTGTAAATCTCATTTTGTCTCCCAGAGTTTTAAGAATGCTGAATTAAAGTTAACTCAAGACTCTTTTTTGTTAGAGCTGTAGTGGAATAACAAATGAATCCATGTGCAAGTTTCTAATAGGAATGTGGAGGAAATGGAGGTGGTGCCAGTCTCACCGGGACTCAAAAGTCATAAAATTCCAGGTGTAAGGTCATCCCGTGTGAACATCATTCCAACGTTATTATAAAATTAATAGTCAACCCAATCATCTATTCATTCATCTTTTCTCCCAGCCAGTGGCCATCTTCCCACCAGCCCGCTAGCCAGCCAGCCTTCCAGCCGCCTACCCATCCCCTGTTCCACCAGTCATTAATTATTGTATGCAAGCATGAATTCGACAAGTACTTATTGAACATTAAGCACCATTCTAGAGCCTGGGGATTCGAAGATGAACAGTCCATGGTCCCTACCCAGAGAGCGTTCACAAGCCAGATGGGGAGCCAGATACTTACAGTATACAGAGAGCATGTATCTGTAAATCTATAATTGATGGGGACAGGTATGCAGAGGCCGCAGGAATAAAGAGAAAAAGATGCCAAAAAAAGCTCCCCCTAATATTGCCAAGAGTAATGGAGAAAAGATTTAAGTTGAATCTTGGGGGAAAACAGAATAGGACAAAAAACATTTGATGATTGTAAGTTTTATATTTTCCATTGGACTATGAGCTGAGAGAACCTATAAATTGGGAATAATTTATTAATTAAATGCCTAAATTAACTCAAAATGTTTTCCCTGCATATGGACTGATGGTCTATAATTCCGTAAGGGTCATTAAACATATTCTGGTTGGAAAAAAAAAGAAAGAACAGGAGGTAAGTTGGAGAACATTGACAGGGAAGAGCTCAGGTAACAGCCCAGAGGAGAGAGAGGAGGTGGCCCTTCCGCAGACCCGCGGTTCCCTGGAGCGGTGAGCATCCAGCAGGAAGAGGCAGGGCCCCCGGTAGTCACCAAGGTGATGACTCGTGAGATCACTCATCAGAAGGTAGAGATTTTAGCACAGACGTGCAGATGTGAGAGTTGGAGCACTTCCAGGAACAAAAATGTGTTCCTTCCAGGCTGAGTGGTGGAGGAAGGTAAAGGAGGCTGCTAATAAAACACTGGGTGCAGAATTAAAAAGCACAAATGCGTCAAGGAAGGACCAGGCCAAGAGAGTAAGGGGTGGGACACTTAAGTCAGG